GTTACATAAGTTGGAATCTTGACAAAATAAATTCAAATAGAATCATATATTCCATTGGAGGTTAATGCTGCTTAGATGATATCGGAAGATCTTTCCCTAATAAACTGGCAGGGAATTAGAAACACATTTGCAAAGTTCTGACAATTTGTGGAACCTGGAATAACATAATAAAAGCAAAATGTAGCTTATCACAGGGTCAATGCGAAAAGCTACATTTACCATTTACTTACATAGGAAAGTCCCCATGGTTTTATACTTCCTAACTTTGACTTCATGATACATAAAAACAATTCCAAACAAACATTTTTTGAACCTCACAAAATCCAAATTATCATCTATGGCTAAAAAAGGTTAAGAAACCACATGATCTGGGATAATTTTCTTTCTGTTCTGTCTCTTATATAGGGTTGAAAGTAGAAACTGTTCTTAAATGAAATAATCATTTATTGAATCCAGTTGATATTGTGGCTGTGAACTGGAATGAGAAAATAGTCAAATAGGAAAGTGTGTGAGCAGGAGTTGAAGGCTTAAAAATATTTCACCAGCTAACAGAAATCCTGAGTTTAATAACATCCACCAACTGATGCCAATAAGCAGCTAACTCAGGGAAAACTGTAGAAGGTGGAAGATATTAGTTTTACTTATTTACTGACTTCTTTATCATGGTGCCTGGCATGGAGATGGAGCTTGATTCATTTTCAGTATTGTTGAATAAAATAAATACAATAACATCTGTACAATCCATGGAGATTGGGCATGAAACAAATGCATAGTAATTTCTGGTTTAATATTTCATCTGGCTAACTGTCCCTGGCTAAGTCTTTCCAAAATGCTGCCAATATACATCAAATAAGACACTGATAAAGATGAAAACAAATCCCAAAATCTAAAGCCAGCACTCAAATAAAACCACTTTAACAGTTTAGTATATATTCTCCCCTCTTTGTCTGTGTATTCACTCACACACATACACACCCATAAATTTTTTTTTTTTTTTTTTTGAGACAGATTCTTGCTGTGTCACCCAGGCTGGAGTGCAGTGGCACAAACTTGGCTCACTGCAACCTCCGCCTCCCAGGCTCAAACAGTTTTCCTGCTTTAGCCTCCCGACTAGCTGGGATTATGGGCATTTAAAAAAATTCTTACATATTGAATCACAATGTACAAATTGTTCTTTTTCTTATTCACGGTGCTTTAGAGATCTTTTCATTTCACTATGTACAGATGTACCTCACTGATTGCAACTGTGTTGTCATGGTACTAAGGAACTATGTACCAAAAACCATTGATGTAATTTTTTTACCATCTAAAAGTATATTTTTACATTAGAAATTCATCATTTGAATGAGGTAAATCCATATATACTGACATAAAATATCTCCAACACAAAAACAAGGGGAAGTACATAAAATCTAATGCCATTCGTGTAGAAAAAAAAGTCTACATAACCTCTATGTGGAGACACATATGACTTCATAGTAACCGTGTGAAGGGTAGAAAGCTAACAGGTGAAAGCTCCTTGGAGAAGTGTCTGGTGTTGGTGTGGGTAGATAAGGGGAGTGTTAGGCTTATCTGTAATGTTTTAGTCTATTTTATTTCGCTTATCTTATAATGAAGATGTATGTATTATATTAGCTGGAAAAATTAAAATTATACCATCTTTTAAAAAATAAAAAATATATAAACTGGAAAGGGAATATATGTATTCTAGAGATGTTTGGAAAAGCTTGTCAAAGGAAATTGGTCCATCTGCAACAAGATCATCAGTGCAAAAATGTGAAATGGTTGTATTTTACAGTTACATTTCTTAAATGAACACTCAAGATGATGCCTCATGCGCTTTTCTCTGGTGACTGTGAATATTATTTTAGCCAGCTTGTTCATGAAGGATGATGACAGAAAGGCATGAAAGTCAATTAAAAGATGCTGTCATTTATGTCAAACTCTGGGACTGAGCATGAGAGTCATGGTACTGTCAATCATGCTGGTTCTTTGCATATTAGTTTGCCCACAGGGCTGGCTGCACAGGGGCTCATTTTTTTTTAAAAGCTGGATTCCAGTGCAGTCACTTTTCAGTTGCTTTGCTGTCAGTGGCTTTTTCTGCATTACACATATAGTTTGCCCATATAGTTTTTCCCTTTCCTTTTAGCTGGACTATAATATTGATGGATAGAGTTGTTGAAGCTTATTGAAACATAAAAACCAAAATTTACAATTTATTCTTTAAATATATCCACAGCTCAGAATTTCAGAAGTGAGCAAAATAAACAAACAAATATAAAGCTATATCTAGGCGTTTCCCAGAAACATTGGAAGAAAGCAATTTCCTTTCTATGTTAGTACCTTAAAGAGCTGTCATTAAAGTGAAATTTTAACTAAAACAAGAACTGAGGATTCTTCAATACTGATACAAAAAAAGTTGATTGTTACAGCTGAGAATGAAACAGTAACCTAGGACTAGCAGAAGAGCATCAGTAGAACCTGGATTGTGTATGAAAATAGATCTGGAAACCAATGAGCAGAGAGATGGTTGTTTTAGCTGCTGCCTCTAGGGCTCTTACTAATCCTCTAACAGGATTGAAAGCAAAGGAGAGTGATGTCAAAATACTCTGCAACATGTGCAAATGTACATAATTATTCCTGAGTCCACAACATAATGCAGCCATTCTCAGATTCTATATTTTTGTTTTTGTCATAATGTCTTAAGTTAATGAACCTCCTCAGAAGATGCAGCCTTGATAGATCCCAGCTAACCATTTTGCTAAGATTCTGCAAATCAAGTAAGCAGACCTCTAATCAAAACTATATTTTAAAAATTTTAAAACATTTAAAATGCATGTGTTGTGCATTACATAGATTGGTAAATGCACAGCAGAAGAGGACAAATTCAAGACTTTTAAGTGTGTTGATCCTGGCTGGTGAAGAAAAGAAGAATGCATATTTGAAGAGAAGCTCTCACATGTATCTACTGTTAGAACACACTACTAAGAGCCATAGAAAGAGTTGCCTCATATTAACTGATCTGCCAACCCAGTCAGAGAACCTTGGGAGGGCCTGGGTTATATGGATACAACAGGACAAGGAAAGTAGAAAATGTGCAGGTATTAAAGCCTAGGGAACGTGTCCAATGGCAAAAAGGCAGAAGGGAAGAGAGGCAGGTCTATCAAAGTCAAAATCTGACACCAGGAAGCAAGTAGAGGCAAACACTTGTAAGAGCTAAATGAATAATATATTTGACAATTATCTATTCTATGGATTCCATTCTCTTCTACTGACTTCCAGATGCCCAAATTCACCATGCTCTTGGCTATGATACTATCTTGAGGTTGTATTTTCTGGTTTGCATACCCACATCATACATCTCCATTTTCCCTCCTTCCTTTACTTTACGCCTCCATCAAATAAACCTGTGTGAGGTTTATTCTTTTAGATTCTGGCTGGGTGACAGAAGCAGTCTGACAAATTAATTCCTGCCAGATGTTAACTGGGCCAATAACATCATGGATAAGATCAGGAGCAGCATAGGTTGGAAACCAGACTCTACCTCTATTAAGGCGTCTATCTCTGATATAGGTTCTTTTCTTTAAGGTGACGTGAGTTTAATAGCCTCTCTTAAGGAGTATTATGATGCTATGTGATGGCATCTTCTGATAGGGCTCTTCCGTTATGGGGCTAGAGGGATGAGTTCTGTGGGATGACCCTTTACAGACAAATGCATGGAGTAGCTTCACCTTCTTTTTTTGTGTAACTCCCCTACTTTTGTGTAAAAACTTCCCTAGTAAGTGTTGGATTGTGAGTCTTGGAGGACTCTAGCAGGGCCATGGAGCTGTGTGCTACAGAAGATGTGTAGGATGGGGAATAAAACAAAACTGTGGCAACATGCAGAGACACTCATAGTGTTTCCTCTGATCTTCCTACAAGGAGGTAAAAGAGATTTTGCATGTAGCCAAGTTGCCACTGGGGAATAATGTCAGCCAGACTCCTCTGGGAGGGGGCAGTGGGTCACTCAATTGGGAAAGCCCTCGGACAGATCCCAGGGATTTCCCATATTCATGTGTGTGCCCTGAGCCCACCCTGGTCTTCCCAGGCGTCTGTCTTGTGGCGATCACTCTGTGCCTATTCTCACTTTAGAGCAGCACTGGTCATGGTTGGTGGCATGGTACACTTGCCTTTATTTGAAGGAGATGGAGAAGGTGAATCCATCCAACAACTCCTGCTTGATATGCTGCATGGAGCTCTGAAAAGAAAGTGTCCAACAGCCAGGCCAAGAGGCATCAATGGCCAGCCTTACTATTTTCCCAGGCGGCCACCCAGATTAGAACTTCCCTCCCAAGATCAGGCACATAGGAGTAACTGCAGAGACTTCCAGTCAGAAAGGAAGCTAGATGACAGATTGAAGTCTCAGGATTTACATGTGAAAAGAAAAGATTTGTCCCCAACACTCCCCTTCCCATCCTGCCAGCCATGACCCAGAGTATGAACCTGATGGACCCCCCTGTCTCCCAACTCCTGACAACATGCTCTTGTCCATGGAGAGCCCCTCATCTCTTGCTTCCCTAAAACACATGGTAATAGGGAGGGTTTTTTTCCAATTCTGTGAAGAAAGTTATTGGTAGCTTGATGGGGATAGCATTGAATCTATAAACTACTTTGGGCAGTATGGCCATTTTCATGATGTTGATTCTTCCTAAACATGAGCATGGAATGTTTTCCAACTGTTTGTGTCTTCTCTTATTTCCTCGAACAGTGGTTTGTAGTTCTCCTTGAAGAAGTCCTTCACATCCCTGATAGTTGTATCCCTAGGTATTTTATTCTCTTTATAGCAATTGTGAATGGGAGTTCACTCATGATTTGGCTCTCTGTCTATTATTGGTGTGTAGGAATGCTTGTGGTTTTTACACATTGATTTTGTATCCTGAGATTTGCTGAAGTTGCTTATCAGCCTAAAGAGATTTTGGGCTGAGATGATGGGGTTTTCTTTTTTTTAATGTTTCTGGCGGTTTTTTTTTTTTTAATTAAAGAAATCCAGTGTCTCAAAAACTTGTGAAAATGTGTTTAAAAAACAAAGGGCCGGTGAGCCTGTCACATCAGTCTGCCCATATGCCTATTGTACCTTCTGATGTCAACAGAGTGCAAAAGCCTCTGTTTTCACAGGCCTTATGATACTAACTCTCACAACTGTACCTCTCTAGAGAAAAAACAGAAAATAGAGAACAAAGGGAAGGCAGTTCTACTAGTGAGAAGATGCCAATTAAAAGCAAACTGGAAAGCAAGAGCAGTAGTAAGGGTGAAATGAGAGACTGGAGTTGAGACTGCTTGAGAAATCTGGCTATGTAGCTTTGGTTTGGGGGACCAAGGAAGAGGCTGGACATAAAAAGTGCAATCTACATTGGTAATAAATGGTCATCCCTTTCTTCTGACTCTTCCCCCAGCTGGTCATCCCCCACACCACGATACGCTGCAGGCACATTTTGAGGTTTAGAACGGCAGACAAAGTCACAGCCATCTGCCACCAGGTTGCCAAGATCCTGCCAGAAGGCTAAGTGGGGAAACTGCTCCACTCCTTTGGCTCCCACCACCAGTCGCTGGTATAGGAACCCCCCAACAACATAAACAGCAGCCAGTGATGCAAACGTGACAAGTAAGATAGAACCCACGCTGAGGTGGGAGATCTCTGGGGAACAGGCCAGGCTGCTATCCATCTCAAAGAGGTAGAAACAATCTTGGACTTTGCCTCGCTCCTCAGACACAGGGTTAAAATTGTCTGCGAGGGTGTGTCGATTGCAGGAGATCATCACCACTGCACGACGCTGCTCCTTGCCACAGTGGTTGTCATATTCATCACCCCCTTTATAGATCAGCATGATCCAATTACTTCCATTGAAGATGTGAGTCTCGTTGAGCCTCCCTACCACTGTCTCCTTCCCATTACTTTTGTTGATTTGCACGAGGCCTGCGCCAGAAGTGTGGTTGCCAGCTTCACGGCACACTCTGAATATGTAGATGTATGTTTCTGAGCCCTGGCCCACAGTGCTCTCAAAGCTTTTATTAAACGGTGGTTTCAACCTCTTCACTAGAGCCAACTCTTTCTCTGATTCTTTACCCTTTTCTCCTACCAAGTCACAAGTTTTTTCTTCTGTCTGCCAAGATTCTCTCACTGCCACAGCCAGGAGTAGCAGCAGTAGCATTCTAGTCCTCCAGGAGCTGTAGAAAGGGAACATCATGTCGCGGGAAACTGGAGCAGCCAAAGCTCACAATCCCTGGTGAATATGCGTCTGGGGATGGGAGACGGGGCCTGCTAGAAGCCGGCCGCAGACCCCGGTCCTGGAGCTAGTGTCAGAGGCCAGCGTCGCCCCTAGTGCCTTGTTGTGCCCCCGGGGTTTTCTAAATATACAATCGTCATCTGCAAACAGGGACAATTTGACATCCTCTCTTCCTATTTGAATATCCTTTATTTCTTTCTCTTGCCTGATGGCCCTGGCCAGAACTTCCAATACTATGTCAAATAGGAGTGGTGAGAGAAGACATCCTTGTCTTGTGCCAGTTTTCAAAGGGAATGCTTCCAACTTTTACCCATTCAGTTCCATTTTGCCCACCTTAAACTTCATATGAAATCAAAAGGGAGCCCACATAGCCAAGACAATCTTAAGCAAAAAAAAAAACAAAAAACAAAAAAACAAAAAATGAAGCTGGAGGCATCATGCTACCTGACTTCAAACTATATTACAAGGCTACTATAATCAAAACAGCATGGTACTGGTACCAAAACAGAGATATAGACCAATGGAACAGAACAGAGGCCTCAGAAGGATTGCCACACAGCTACAACCATTTGATCTTTGACATATCTGACAAAAACCAGCAATGGGGAAAGGATTCCCTGTTTGATAAATGGTGTTGGGAAAAACTGGCTAGCCATGTGCAGAAAGCTGAAACTAGATCCCTTCCTTACACGTTATACAAAAATTGACTCTAGATGGATAAAAGAATTAAACATGAGGCCTAACACCATAAAACTCTAGAAGAAAACCTGGGAATACCATCCAGGACATAGGCATAGGCAAGGACTTCATGACTAAAACACAAAAAGCAATGGCAACAAAAACCAAAATAGGGAAGTGGGATCTAATTAAACTTAACAGCTTCTGCACAGCAAAATAAACTATCAATAGAGTGAACTGGCAACCAACAGAACGGGAAAAAAATTTTTCAATCTACCCATCATACAGAGAACTTAACAAATTTACAAGAAAAAAACAACCCCATAAATATATATATGTATGTGTATATATATATATATATATATATGCCATTTACATTCAATGTTAGCATTGAGATGTGAGGTACCATTGCATTCATCATGCTATTTGTTGCCTGTGTACCTTGGTTTTTCATTTTTTGTTTTTGCTTTTTAAATTGTTTTCTTGTTTCATATGTCCTGTGTGATTTATGCTTTAAAGAGGTTCTGTTTTGATGTGTTTCTAGAATTTGTTTCAAGATTTAGAGCTCCTTTTAGCAGTTCTTGTAGTGGTGGCTTGGTAGTAGCAAATTCTTTCAACATTTGTTTGTCTGAAAAAGGCTGTATCTTTTCTTCATATGTGATGCCTAGTTTTTCTGGATACAAAATTCTTGGCTGATAATTGTTTTGTTTGAGAAGGCTGAAGACAGGGCCCCAATTCCTACTAGCTTGTAAAGTTTCTGCTGAGAAATCTGCTGTTAATCTGACAGGTTTTCCTTTACAGGTCACCTGGTTCTTTTGTCTCACAGCTCTTAAGATTCTTTCCTTCATCTTAACTTTAGATAACCTGAAGTGATCTAAATGTACCTAGGCAATGATCTTTTTGTGATGAATTTTCCAGGTGTTCTCTGTGCTTCTTGTATTTGGATGTCTAGGTCTCTAGCAAGGCCAGGGAAGATTTCCTCGATTATTCATCCAAATATGTTTTCCAAATTTTAGATTTCTCTTCTTCCTCAGGAACACCAATTATTCTTAGGTTTTATTGTTTAACATAATTCCAGACTTCTTGGAGGCTTTGGTCATATTTTCTTATTCTTTTTTTCTTTGTCTTTTTTGGTTTGGGTTAATTCAAAGAACTTGTCTTTGAGTTGTGAATTTCTTTCTTCTACATGTTCAATTTGATTGCTGAGACTTTGCAGAACATTTTGCATTTCTATAAGTGTGACCAGTGTTTTCTAAGTTTTGATTGTTTTTTATTTATGCTATTTCCTTGAATATTTCTCACTTCACTACTTGTATTATTTTATCGATTTCCTTGCACTAGGCTTCGCCTTTCTCTGATGTCTACCTTATTAGCTTAATAACTAACTTTCTGAATTTGTTTTCAGGTAAATCAGGGATTTCTTCTTAGTTTGGATGCATTGCTGGTGAGCTAGTGTGTTTTTGCGGGGGAGTGTTAAAGAGCCTTGTTTTGTCATATTATCAGAGTTGGTCTTCTCGTTCCTTCTCATTTGAGTAAACGCTGTGAGATGGAAGGTTTAGGGCTCAAGGCTGTTGTGCAGATTCTTTTCTCTTATGTGTTGTTCTCTTGATGTAGTACTCTCCCCCTTTTCCTATGCATCTGGTCTCCTGTGGGCCAAGTTTCAGTGATTGCTATCTCTCTTTTGGGTCTAGCCACTCAGCAAGTCTACCCAGCTCTGGGCTAGTGAACCGTCTGTAGGCCTCTCACCCATGGATATCAGCACCTGTTCCAGTGGAGGTGGCAGGGAGGTTAAATGGACCCTGTGAGAGTTCTTAGCTTTGGTTGTTTAATATTCTATTTGTGTGCTGGTTTACCTCCTGCCAGGAGGTGGTGCTTACTACATATGATCTAAATTAAATGTAAGGTAAAGTTTCTTTAAGTGAAATGAGTTAGATGAAATGGGGTTAAACTGACAGCCCCAACCACCAGATAAAAAAGGTAACAGAAACCCGTAAAATGAATAAATAACCTCTTTATGTGGGGATAAGAAATGAACTCAAAGCCACACTGTTAAATAGAAAAGAAAGAGCAAACCAGTGAGATACAATTTCTATACTTAAAAATTGTAATTATATACATGCACTGTGCTCAGGCACAGAGAATATCTCTAGAAGAAAACAGAGCTGCTGGGACAGCGTTTTCTTCTGGGGAAGAGAACCGAGGGCTTGGAGAGGGATTTCCCTTTCATTATACACCTGTTTGAAACTTTTGAATATTTTATTGTGTGCATGTAATTACTTATGCAAATCTGAAATTTTAAGTCAAATGACAAAAGTTGATTCAGAAGATAGCATAATCCTTTAAGAACTGCTGCTCATTTCCCAGGCTGGAGAGAACTCTTTAATGTTAAACTTCCCACCTATGCTCTTTTGGTGCCACGTAGTCTGCAAGGATACCATTCTTGACTCCCGTTGATGTGAAACTATATTGACTCCTGGAAACCTCAGGGGTCATTGATCCTGGTCTCTTCATATTTATCACTTATGCTTGGATGTATTTGTCCGAGACTGAAAGTCTAGCCAGTCTTTCTTGGTGACTGGTCCCAGTGCAGCACACATGTAGAAAATCTGCAGAAATAAACCAAGATGTATGATTGGCCAATGAGTGATTTGAGAACAAAGGATAATAACGATTCAGATGTGAATTCCTACAATTAAGGACTCCAAAGAAAATGGGAATCACGTTTTTCTCTTCATGTTTATCAGAGCAAATCATTAGTGATGTTTATGCCAGCTATCTAGTTACGTCAAGCTTTACCATGGCCAGAACTGATTTTCACAAACATGCATGCAGGTGGAAGCGACTTAAAAATAGCCTTGAATGGAAATAATTACCACTTTATATTATCACGAAAGCATATCTTTGTGCCAGAAAGCCCCATTCCCACTTGGCAAAGCCCTAATTACCACTGCTCACAAGAAGAGTGTTGATGCCTTAGTCAAAATTCCTAGGTTCCAAAGTTCAACTTTTTTTTTTTCCCATTTATTTATTTTATTGCATTTTAGGTTTTGGGGTACATGTGAAGAAAATGCAAGATTATTGCATAGGTACACACGTGGCAGTGTGATTTGCTGCCTTCCCCCCCATCACCTACATCTGGCATCTCTCCCCTTGCTATCTCTCCCCAACCCCCCCCCCCCCCCCCGTCCCTCCCCTATTTTCCCCCAACTGACCCCAGTGTGTGATGCTCCCCTCTCTGTGTCCATGTGTTCTCATTGTTCAACACCCACCTATGAGTGAGAACATGCGGTGTTTGATCTTCTGCTCTTCTGTCAGTTTGCTGAGAATGATGGTTTCCAGGTTCATCCATGTCCCTACAAAGGACACAAACTCACTAAACATCTTTTGGTCCAGAATGGCTTCACAGACATTAATTGTTGTTCCAGTGATGCACAAAGTATTGCTCAAATGCTTTTGTCTTAAGTTGAAGCCTTTTTTTTTTTAAAGAAACAGAGTGCAACTAAATGAATGTAGAAATTAATTTTTAATCCTAATAGTTAAATCTCCATTTAAGACTATTTTCAAAATCGTTATCTCCACTAGAGGTTAAAATAATTTGAACAACTACAAAGTTAAAACAAAATTTATAATGAAAACCATTTTAGTGCATAAAATATGTTATACCATATTTCTTAACTAGAACATGAGGCTCTGCTTGGAATGCAGGGGGAAAAAATATAAATGTGACCTTTCATGCATTCTCAAATATTTCATGTTGTTTTAGGTAAGGATGCATTGCATACGTTTCTTAATTCATTTATATATTCACTGATGCTAAACAAACATTTCTAAGATAATTTGTTTTAAGCTTATTTGGATAGTGAAAAACATCAGTATACAATATGTTTAATTCTACTTCAGCCTAGAAACGGTTGTCTCAGCTCAAATGTCACCTTTTAAAACCAAATAGAAGGAAGAGCCAGCAATTATGTTCTAACATTTAGATCTGAGAGTGAAAATGAATACTTGCTGCCCGCTTCATCGTTTTCTGCTTTTGTTTTTATTTTCCTTTTTGAGTTTTGATTTCACTTCTCCTCCTTGCCCCATAAAACTTGAAGACTGAAATGTGGTAATTTTCTTTTGTAAGCCTTTGTTACTGATTTAATTAATTAAAAGCCATTTACTTGTATTTAAAAAGTCCGCTTATATTTTGGTTCATCAATGCTTTCAATCTCATAAAATTACAGCCCATTCCAACATTAACTCATGGACTTGTATCTGTCAAGGATCACCAGGGACAGGAACAAACTTCTCTGCTAGAAAAAAATCTATCACAATATTGCTTTGCCTTTTACCGTTCAAAATGCTGTGATATCAACCATGAATTTTTCCCCTCATCTCTCCTAAACATTCTTATAAAGTTCCTTCTGTGCCTTACTTCTAAACATGG